CGCTGTGGCGGGCCGAACCCGCATGCCGATTGCACCGCGCAGCACCCGTGTTGCATAATCTGTGTCTGTGGCGCCACCAACCTGGCCACAGAACCACGCTGTCCTAGCTGGCAACAAGCGCGTAAGCTACGAGAGGTCTGCGCGCAATCATCCCACCCCATGACACGCCGTGAGGCCTTAGCAAATGTTCGCAAGAACAATTGACCCCACGGCTTAAAATTCTGCCCCTTGAGAAGTTTTTTTCAAATGCGGTGGTCGATGGTGGCTCTACTGCTCATGCATCCACAAGCACCCCCCCCCCCCCCCAGAGAACGCCTCGGCAATCTCGGGGCTCGCAGCCGCATTTCCTGCCGCATTGAACTTCCTTCCTCGCGACTGTCTGGTTCACTCGCTCTGCATACCAGCGCTGGCTACGTAACAAGCTTTGACACAGAAAGGCGAGTAAAAACTGCACGGCAGCCGGGCATCCTTCAGTGGAGCCACGTGAGTGGTACTGTCGTTCTTTGCGCCGCCGTCATAGTGAGCTTGCTGAGTACTTGCGGCTCAACGAGTACGACATCGTCACAACACAGGAGGCTTGTGTACGCGGTAGCGAAAGTAGACTTACCGCAGTTACACGGGCTACCATTGTAGAGCGAGGTGTCAAGTGCGCAATTGTGACTTAGATGTGTGCTGCGACCCCACACAACCTCCCGCCCGCTCTTACGCCTCCATCTACGTGCGCAATACACACGCTTATAACACCGTAGACGTTTCTGACACCTTGTGCAGTGAGGTTGAACGTGTGGCGGTTAAAGTGCGTCTCGGGCCATGCGACACGGCAGTGGCGTGTGTTTATGTGCATCCTGTCTACAGGTGGGACAAGGTATTTGTTACCCGTTTGGTGCGACGCCTACAAGGGGACTGTGTAATTTGTGAAGACTTCAACTCGCACCATACGGCTTGGGGGAGTGACCAAATAGACCGCAGAGGCAGAGACCTGTTGGACACCATTGCTGGGACAGGCTTCCTTATTATAAACACGGGCTGTCCAACTTTCGTGCGTCACAGTGTAAAAAGCAGTGCCATAGACCTCTCACTAATGAGTGACCAGTACCGGTACTAGTGGAAGAGAAAGGCAGAGACGTGGGATTCAGATCATTACCCCCTCCACCCAAAGCCACTTGATCGGCGCCACGCGGGCACGCGCACATATACTGTTACTGATTGGCCGCGTTTTCGACAAAGACTTGTTGGACACCATTGCTGGGACAGGCTTGCTTATTATAAACACGGGCTGTCCGACTTTCGTGCGTCCCAAGTGTAAAAAGCAGTGCCATACACCTCTCACTTGTGAGTGACCAGTGCCGGTACGAGTGGAAGAGAGAGGCAGACACGTGGGGCTCAGATCATTACCCCCTCCACCTAGAATCACTTGATCGGCGCCGCGTGGGCACGCGCAAATACACTGTTGCTGACTGGCCGCGTTTTCGGCAACTCTCGGCTGCCTCCTCACCTTCCGGCGTCGCCTACTTCTCGCACGTCACCCGCTGCGTCGAAGCGGCTTCGCGCAAGTGCATAGTGCCAGTTGGAACACCAGTTCCGGACATAAAAAATAGTGCCAGTGACTACGCGTGGCCCGCCAGAGACTCCGTCCGGCCAAAAGCGACCACAAGGAGCTCTGGACACTTTATAATCGCTTGACGCCGTGTGTCGCCGACACGCACTGCAAATACGCGACCACTCTTGGGGCACTCTATGCGTCACGCTGAACCACCCGCGACGCTCCGCGCTTGCGTGGAGGATATTCAGTGCCGTCCTGTGCCCCGTTGAATTATGTTTCTCGGTCCTCGCCATTGCCGTTGCACATTGCCTCACTTACCAGCCATTGCCCAAGCTACTGACTGACACCCTCTGCCTCAGTGCTCCCCAAAGCTTGCCCGAGGTTCCCCAACTCCCGTTGCACCATATTCCGAGAGTGGTACAAACCTCGCCGCTTTTTTCCCACCGCCGGCATTCGCCACCAAGAACGCGCTTTATGCACTGAGGATTTCACTCTCGGGGAGTTCCACGTGGCTTTGGCGTCGCGCAAATGGCGCTCAGCGCCCGGTGCTGACGGCTGACATACCAGATGCTTCGCAAGACCAATCAGTCCCAGCTCCCAGTGCTCTTGGCTGCCTACAACGATGTGTGGCGCACGGGGATAGTGCCGCAAGAGTGGCGCAAAGCCATCGTCGTACCCGTGCTCAAGAAGATAAACCCGTCTCGGAGCAAGTGTCCTATCGCCTTGTTTCCCTTACCTCCGCAGCAGGCAAGCTTTTGGAGGCTATGGCATTGAGGAGATTTGAATGGATTGCCGAGACAATCGATGTTTTCTCGCCTTCGCAGAGCGGCTTCCTGCCATTCGCGTGCCACTGCCGAAGCTCTTGCCGACGTCATCACAACGCTAGATGAGGCACAGTACAACGGAAAGGCCTGCTACCTCATTCTGCTACACATCAAGGTGGCATTTGACTCCCTTCCACACCAAGCCATCCTGATCGCAGTGCACGATCTCGGAGTGACCGGTCTCCTCTTCGCGTACATCACTGCCTTCCTCGGCGGCAGAACCATGCGTGTGCGCGTAGGTGGAGTCCTCCGCGAGCCGCGTCCCGTGAGTGTCGGTGTTCCGCAGAACAGTGTACTCAGCCCCCTCTTGCTCAATCTCGTCCTGGCTGACATTACAATTACATTCCCCGTGCCCTTCCCTGTGATGTGCGCGTCGCGGTCTACGCGGACGGTGTTCGCAACAAGACCTATGCCCAGTGGCCGGTGTAATCGCACCAGTGTCCCAACCGTCCTGGATTCTATTGACGTGTTCATCACGGGCAGGGAGACGAGGCTTTCACCAGCGAAGATTGAAGCGATGCTGCTGCACTTCAGCTATGGCGTCCAGCGCTACACACCGATGTTCACTCTCCAAACAACCCCCATCTCTTGGAAGAGGCGAGTGACCTACCTCGGAGTACAGCTGGACCAATGCCTCAATTGGTCACCAATGGTCAGCGACCAGCTTCGAAACGCACGAAGGGTCGCCTCCGCCACAAGAGCGCTCCTTGCTCGCGGCAACAGATGCACACCGACTCTAGCCCTCCACATCTACAACGAAATTGCTGCGGCGCGCATTTTGTACGGCCTTCCTCTCGCGGCGCTTAGACAATTTAACTGGGAGCCACTGGACACAGAGCATCGTATTGAAATTCGCCTGTTTTTCAGCTTGTCCCGATCCTTTCAAATCGGCTTAACCCTCGATGAGGCGGGAGACATACCTCTGTAACTCAGGGCCAAACTTCGAACGCAAAATCACATAGAGCGCATGAAACACTCGCGTCATGGACAGTAGCTGGTATTCTGGCTCTCCTCACTGCCACACTGACGTATGAGGCAATGCACTGTGGTATTCAACGCCCTCATGCCGAGCTCACCGGGATGTGAATTACTATAATAGTGCCCCGCCCTTCCGGCATCGCCCTCTGAAGATTCGGACACGGTTTCCTGGAGTGGCAAGCAAGCGGACGACGCCAGAGTGTGCAGCTTCGGCCCGACACTGCCGCCACTTTCGACGGATTTCTCGCGGGGTGACTCCTCGTCTTTACAGATGGTTCAGTGTTGAACGACGGTTGTACCGCGGCTGCATGTGTTGCGCCTTCGCTAGAGCTCCAAAATCAGTGCCGCCTCGCCTGCGAGGCGGCACTGATTTGCCGAATTCACCTCGCTGCGACATTACATTCCAGCACCGTTGCAGCCGAATTCACCTCGCTGCGACATTACATTCCAGCACCGTTGCAGCCAGTGACTGCAGTGCCTCGACGAGTCATGGAAAGAACTAATACGAGTGGCCGCGCCCTATGTGCTTTTCTGGCGACGGCGCGCTGCCTAGGCACCCAAATCGCGCGAACATCCTTAGGCGCTTTAGTCTCTAGCGGTGAGCCGACGTCGACTGTGAGCGCTTCCTCTAGTTTGGTCAAGGTGGATTTTGGTGTTGTGCGGTGGTGTGTATAGATTGCGGTATTATTCCTTGTGAATCTGGTGATGCGGCAGCGATCGTCGGCTGACCGATTCTTCAAAGGGGGGGAGAAAGAATGCCGTGGGTCTTTCATGCAAGCGGTAGCGTTGAATGACCAACATCTCCCGTCGATGTGATATGCTCAAGTGCTGGCTCTCTGTGTGTGCTGCGCAGTGGTTTATTAGACAAATTTATTTCCCTACACATTTGATGATACATTAGTGTTGGCTGGTTCACGAGAGCCGTAACGTTGAATTACTCGTGATTATGTTTGTGCAGACATACTTTCGAAGCAGATGTAGGTTCTGACACACTGTACTGACAACAACACTTTCACGCGGGTACTTGTTTGCTATGTCGTATTCTTTTACATCGCAGTTAGATCACGGCTGCATCATATTTGATCCGATTAGTTTGGGCAGTTAGCGGTGACTAATACTGGTGTCACTCGAATACATTTGATCGAGATCGACAGGTCTGTCGCTGCTGCGCCGGATCGAGTTTGGCGCAGACGCCCTAGCTGATTGCAATCAAAAGTGTCCGTGTGACACCGGTATGATCAGCCGTGCGAATGCTCAAACCCTTTCTGTACGCTCTTGTGGTCTCTAGCTCCTTGGCTACTGGTTGCGTCAGTAGAGAGCATACAAGAAAAACAGTTTACAACATATTGTGGGCATTTAGTATACCAATCCTCTTAAGTGTAGAGGTCGCCACCCTTCAGTCATTTAGTTCTTTGACTCAGCTGAAAAAGGTTGTCCTTCGGGAACGCCACATCCTACCAACTGTAGAGCAAGTCCTTGGCCTCCTTGGCGACGCAACAGTTTTCTCCAAGCTGGATGCAACAGCCAGTTTTCATCAGGTTAAACTATCTGACCACTCCCAAGAGCTCACAACGTTCATCACCCCATTTGGCCGATACTGCTTCTGCCGGCTCCCCTTTGGCATCACCTCCGCGCCGGAGTACTTCCAAAAACAGATGGCCAGGATCCTGGAGGGCCAGAAACGAGTCGCCAATATGATAGACGACATTCTGGTCTTTGGGCGCACCCGCGAGGAGCACGATGCCAGACTGAGCCAGGTGCTGTCTCGCCTTGCAAAAGCAGGCCTCACGTTGAACCAAGACAAGTGTCGTTTTGGTGTCTCCGAAGTCTCCTTCCTAGGAGTCATCGTTTCAGCACAACACATCAAACCAAGTCCAGACAAGGTCGAAGCAATCAAAGTCATGGAGGCTCCAACCGACATCGCAGGTGTCCGGCGACTGCTCGGAATGGTGAACCATCTTGCCCGGTTTTTGCCTTGCATCTCAGAGGTCACAGCTCCCATCAGAGCACTTCTAAACAAGTCTGCGACTTGGGTGTGGCAGCATGAACAAAATGCTGCATTCGAGAAAATCAAGGAACTCCTGACATCAGACTGTTGCATGGCCAAGTACCATCCATCATACGCCACCACAGTTTCGGCTGACGCAAGCTCATTCGGACATGGGCGCAGTCTTGCTGCAAACACAGCCCTCTGGAGAGCGCCGCCCAGTTGCGTTTGCTTCGAGATCAATGACCGAGACAGAGCAGCGTTACAGCCAGACAGAAAAGGAAGCGTTGGCAACAACATGGGCTATCCAACAGTTTGACGAATTCGTCCGCGGCATCACCTTCGATGTTGAGACAGATCACCTACCACTCGTTTCTCTCTTCGGCAAGATGGAGCTGGACATGGTGCCGCCTCGCATACAGAGGCTCAGGTTAAAGACCATGCGATACCAGTTCCGAATGCTCCACGTGCCAGGAAAGCTGTTAGCTACGGCAGATACCTTGTCACGCATCACCCAAAAGGCGTCCCTCCCCCTGGACACCGTGGAATTGTTTGCAGCTCAAGTGGTCAGCGGCATGTCAGAAGCCTTGCCACTAAGCCCAGAGGACGTGCGACAAGCACAAGAGTCCAATGGCGAATGCAGAGCCCTCACCTTCTTCTGCCACAATGGTTGGCCACAGAAGTCCAAACTGCCACTGCACCTCTCCCAGTATGCCTCAGCAGCAGATGAGCTCTCTGTCTGCCACGGTGTTCTACTGAAAGGCGCCAGGATGGTCATCCCGCATTCTCTTCGGCCGGCTGTTTTGACGCTGTTGCACGAAGGACACCAAGGCATCAACAGGACGAAAGCTCTCGCTCGAGAGTCCATTTGGTGGCCTGGCATTTCGGCAGACATTACCTCTCTGGTAACTAACTGCGAGCAATGTGCTTCCACTCGGGTGAATCTTGCAGAGCCCCTGGTCTCCACGGTCCTACCTGGACGTCCCTGGGAACTTGTCGGCGTGGACCTGTTCCACCTCATTGATCTTGGTGGTGGACTACCACTCCAGGTACCCTGAAGTTGTAACCTTGAGGAGCACAACGGCTCAGGCAGTCATCGACGTTCTCAAAAGCATCTTTGCCTGGCATGAGATTCCGCGAGAAGTCAGATCATACAACGGTCCACCGTTCTCTTCACGCGAGTTTGCAGCATTGGCGGCATCTTACGGCTTTGACCACGTCACCAGCAGCCCGCACTATGCGCAATCGAACGAAGAGGCGGAGAGAATGGTCAGGACCATCAAGGAGTTGTTTCGCAAAGCAACAGACCCTCATCTGGCCTTGCTCAGCTACCGGGACACCCCCGGAGTCGATGGCTTCAGCCCGGCCCAGCTCTTGATGAGACGACAACTCCGAACCAAAGTGCCGAAACAGGACTCCCAGTTATGTCCTCACTGGCCGTCGAGGAAAGACGTGAGGAGAACAGATGCAGCCTACAAGCAGAAACAGGCCGCTGACTTTAACAGGCATCACAGAGCTCAAGATCTGTCATCGCTTCGAACAGGCCAGTGTGTCTGGGTACGACCTGATCAGGTCAAAGCTACAGTGCTTAGCCCAGCACGCCGACCACGAAGTTATGTCGTGGAAACGGAGCAGGTTGGCGTCCTACAGCGCAACCGGCGTCACCTAGTGCCTTTTGCACCTCCTGCGCCAAGGGTGGAACCACCGCCGTCTGAGGAGCAGGAGCCACAGCGAACGCTGCCTCCTCTAGAACCCCAGCGAATTACTACAGTGCAATCACCCGATTCCCTTGGACTGCCCTCTGCAGACAGTGACCGCAGTCATGGTGTGACACGAACACGTAGTGGCCGCCGTGTTGTGCCTCCGAACCGCCTGAACATGTGATGTGCAGTGTCTGGCGTCCTCTGTCTTCCGTCTGGTCTTCAAGGGGGGAGGTGTAGAGGTCGCCACCCTTCAGTCATTTAGTTCGGCTGCCACTGGCAGGTGGCGCCCCTGAGATTGTATATATTCTGCCCCGAATAAAGTGGGAGGCCCCTTTTTCGTTAGCTGAGCAGCTGTCGTGCGTATCGTCTCTCTCCGCTCGTGCTCTGCCACGCTGGCGCGGCACCAGCCACAAGACATTAAGAAGGTGGCGTACCTTGTCTGACTCTGTCATTGGGGTGTCAACCCGGCGGAAAAGTGAAAGGACATCCTCGATGTAGAATGTATACGACTCCCCGATGTGCTGTTTCCGAGTCGCGAGAGCTTTCTTTGCGAGAGCTGAACGAACAGCCGGTGTGCCAAAGACATGGCGAAGCTGATCTTTGAAGGCTGACCAGACGGGGATGTCGATGAAGTGGTAGAGGAACCACGTCTTCGCGACACCCGTGAGGTAGAATGACACGTAAGCGAGTTTGTAGGTGTTATCCCACCGGTTAGCAGCGCCGACACGTTCGAAATCGTCCAGCCATTCCTCCACACCTTCCCCGCGCATACCAGCGAAGGGATGGGGCTCACGCTGGAGGCTGTTAATGACGTGAAAAGGCGCGGCACGCGGTGACGGAGTGGGAACAGCTGCAGCACCGACCTCTTCTTGGTGTGACATATTTCCGGACACCTGGCCCAAGCGGCGACCTGAACGTAGCTCCAGGTAGAGTGGTCGAGAGGATGACGGGGGATCCAACAGCACGCTCCACCACGTATGAAGTCTTGGTTTGGAAGACCTTTATTAGGCCCGAAGAACCGGCAGCCGACAGCTGAGATGAACAAACCAAGATGATGATGCTAAGTGACAACGATGAGGATGCATGAGCAACACATGATAATGATGATAATGTACAGATGAAGAGGATTGGTATACTAAATGCACACAATATACAAAGCTATCCTATCAAAATTATGCGGAAAAGGTGCATCATACTGGGTAGCTAGGTCTGTAATAATGAGACGTCTGCAAATAAGCACATGTACACAGAAGGACTGAAAGCTGGACCAGTTGGTGACAGTACTTTAACATATTTTAACACAGCGTACGACTATGCGGGAATAAGAGCGATTTGTCTCTTTTCTAATATCCGTGTAGTCCTACCCTGTGTTACAATACGTTCAAGCACATGTATGTGTTCAGTCTTGCTAAATCAAGTACCACATAAAAATTGAAGGACTTTTTATTTTTTAGGAAGTACAATGTCATTTTGGGTCTTATTATTAGTTTTCTTGCCCGTTATTTTTTAATCAAAAAGATGTTATGTTTACTTCACTATCAGATTAGCGCAATAGTACCCGCTTAGTAGTCAGTGCATGATGCAAGCTTTTGGTCTTCCTTGGTGCGTTTGCGCAATAAAAAATTGCATCAAGTTATATTTCTCGGCTCCTCTATATTATACATAACTTCAATTCTTGGAATAGGCACAATGATAAAGTAATGTGGTTCTTGTATTGAACAAAATTTCTCAAAATTTTGTTGAGCCTTGTATAAGACAAGTCCACTTGTCAAAACGTTGTCTCCAGCATTCCCCCCATTTTACAAAATTTTCATAGCTTCCAATAGTGTAAATTTTACTAATAAATACTAAGAAAACGCTATCTAGCAGAACTACTGTCACGAAGTTTTTAATCTAACGAGAATTTCCATTCACCAGCAAAAATCTGTAGAATGTAACGTTGTCTTCAGACCGATTGAAAGTTTTTTAAAACGACTAAGTAAAAAAGCAGTGATTTTTTAAATTATTTTGCTGCAGCATATTTGAGTATGCATTCTGACACTACCACAATGAAGCATTTATGTGCCCTCGCTTTACTTTTATGGAGCTGCATGCCGTAAGCCTGTGCAGATGAAGGATGAATTCAGCCTTTGGTAGTGCTCTTACGTTCCAGTTGGTGACAGAGGTGACGGTGGTTGCTTTTATTTTATGGCTTATTCGAAAAAATCACTGGTCACTCCTAGCCTTTTTCTAGCTTAGAATGCTCGCACAATCACTGAATTCATTCTTCTTGTCATTGCATATTGGGAACTTGTCATAGCCTCATGTTTCCCTGGTCTGCATCACCCAGACACGGTGTCCCTGTTCTATGTCAAATGTGCCCCTACTGGTTTTTAAGACACAAAGTTCAGGCTAGAAGTACTCTCTCATATTATAATCGGTTCATGTTCTTGTAGAAGCCACAAAAATATGGCTGCTTTTATTGGCAAAATAATGAAAAAAGGTGTCTAGGGGAGCTAAAAGTTTCTACAGTTTATTCATCATATCCTGCATCGAAAATTACAGGCCCACATGTGTGGAGTAAGCTAGGCTTACATTGAGAGCATACTAACTAATCACAATCTGCGAACTTGTTCTCTACCTACCAGAAAGACAAAGTATCACTGATACCTAATGAACCTCGTGATTTTATACAGAATGCATCCAGGCATTCTCGAGTAGTTGTGTCCCAGCTTCTGCCAATATTCCATACCTTATCCAGGTACGCCTCACACTTATGAGAACCGCACTGCGTCAGGAAATGTGCCACATCTTTATCTTTTAACGAAAGCTCACGTTTTTTTGCACGCTCATTCACGCATATTCTTGCCCGGCCAACATTCATCTTTTGCCGTAGGATAGTGAAAATTTATAAACGACCATGTTGACACATTTTGTGTATGATTGGCGTGCCACTTACCATACCTATCTTTGTCGCTTCGATCAGATAGTATACATAAGAAAGCTGAGATGATTTTTGTAGCGCAAAAAAAAGAATCGGCATGCCATCTCTGTTTGCAGCCATTTTTAGGTCATGTGCAGCTCGGTGCATACGCAGTACCAGCTCAAGTTTCGCTGTTCAGCGCTCTTGTTCAACCCCGGTACCGTGGGTTAATAGTCTGGGGGAGCAACTCAGCTATAGCGTTATAGAGCATGCGAAGGAAACCAACCACATAAAAACTGTCCAATTGGCTTTGAAAAGTCTTCTGCATAACGTGTGAGCACGACCCTGCACATACATACTCTGAGCATTGTTCAGCTATGGCCCTTTTAACAGTTTTGGAATGCGTCAACTCGTATGAAAACAATTTTTCAGCACACCTAGACAAAAAAGCCAACCGCCATGATGACTCTGCAAGGTAATGCGCTAAGCCAAAAACTGCAAAAAGCCACAATTCTTCAACTCATGAGTAAACACCAATTCTTTTTCAGTCTGCCAAAGCCTGCTAGAACATTGTTAACAATGGGCTAATATGTGACGGTGGTTAGTTGCTTTAAAATAATAAAAAGTTATCATTATATGTAAGAACTTCCGAAACCTCCCACTAATTAAGATGCTGGTGGAACGTAATAAAAGTGGTTGCGATCAAACATAAGAAATTGCACAACAAAGGAGCAACATATGAGCTATCTTTAACATAAAAGTTGAGATGGGCCATAAAAGCTTATACTTGCCATGCCCATGGCATTCCTGAAGGCAACGACACCACTCTCGTCGGTGCAACTTCTTACGTAGAAAAACAATTCACCGTGCTGGACAGAATAAAAAAGGTCCTCAACATCTACCAAGAACAAGTACCCATTGAAGGATTCTTTGAAGAAAGTGGATGATGCATGGGAAATTCCCAGTTAAAAATGGGCCTTTCATGACAACCCAGTCTAGCAGCTTCATTAAAAACTGACTAATCATGTTCTCCCAGATACCTCAATCACTCACAATCGTCCTGAATGAAACACCCGGCTTATACGTCTTGGCCATAAAAAACACAGAAAGGGTGTTCTTTTGCTAGCTGCAGTATGCAATAGACTCTGCTAGTTGTGCAAGTTCCAAGTCCTTACTCAGAGCCACTGCCTTGCTTTTCAAAACTCTTGTTTTGATGACTTTTAACTTGACGAAGCTCATGTAGACTGCTTCTCTTGCCTTAAAAGTTACACAAATCTACATCCATAGCTATGGAGCCACTACATTTATCCACTTGAAATTGGCACATATTGTCGCACTTGAACAATAACAACACCCACTAACGTATCCTCCTGACGAAGAGGGTTTTCCCCTGTTCCTGCTAGAGCTTAGACATTGTCTTGTAAGCAATAGTCCTTAACATAGACAGCGACTTTTGCCGCAACTCGTCGGTGCAATGCCAGTAATCAGTGAGCCAGCAACAGAGGTTCGTGGCTAAATTTTTGGCCTTTGTTGAGTACATAGCGTACACTTTCTGCAATGTGAACATTTCCCAGCCCAGTGAGGCCTTCCCAGGTCGTGCGAGCAGGCTTCTTTAGTATGAAACAGCGAGCATGCCTTATATTCAGGTTACAGTTTGCCTTAGTGATGTGGGCTGCTGAACGCTTCGCATCGCGAAACTTCTTCAGTGCCAGCCACTCCAGGCCCAAACACAAGCAAAGTGCACGAAGCAGGTAAAGAAAGCACACGTGCTGCCACAAATTATGATTTCACATACTTTCGTAACATGATCAAATAAAGGTGTGACTTCCTCATAAAGAGCACTCACTTCTTGTAGAACATGACCTTTCGGGGAAGTCATGCCTTCATTTGGTTGTGTTAGCAAATATGTAAAATTTTAAAACCCGAATTGCGGTGGCAGGCGTGCTTATTTTTTTACCAACTTAATGCAAGGTGCTTCGGTTTGGATCTGGAGTGGTTGGTGCTAAAAAGTTTTGCAACGCCAACTTTATCATACTTGACCAGGCATAATAACTAGTGCCTAGTCAGGCATGTGTTATCAGTCGAAATGCGTCATCTTTCCGAATTCGCGTGCTGAAAGCGCCCTGAGGAACCAAGCATCTACGATTAAACAGGCACACCTTTCAACATGGTCACTCTTGTGAGAAGCGGCCCAGCATATCTATTAGGTCACGCGTGCTCCTGGGCACACCACGTCCGAGCCCACAACTTCCGCAAAGTACCATGGATTAAGCCTGGCT